TAATAATATAATTAATAATAAGATAATAATAATAGAATAACAATTAAATAACAATAATAAAATAATAATAAAATAATTACAATAAAATAATAGTAATAAAATAATTATAATAAAATAATTATAATGAAATAACAATAATAAAATAATAATAATAATAAAATAATAATGATAAAATAATAATAATAAAATAACATTAATAAAATAATAATAACAAAATAATAATAATAATAAAATAATAATATTAAAATAATAATAATAATTTTGAATGTAAAATAATGATACTAAATTATCAATAAAATAATAATAATAAAGTAATAATAATAATAACAATAATAATAATAACAATGAAAATAATCTAATTGGCGAAATGACAATCATACGGAGGTTTCGTGATAATGATAATAATCTTATATGGGTTTAATAATTATATTCTTAACGTAGCGTTTGTGATTAACTGATTGATTATTCAGAATTATGAGTGGTTTAGCATTGCCCGGGAATATCTTGAAGAGAATGTGCATGAGGTAGGTATATTCGAAGGATATATTTGCTTATGAGAGTGTAGGGACTTTCATAGAGTTCTTATTTGATAGGATATGATTTGATAGAGAATTATTGCTCACTTGATTGCATTCAGAATCGCATATCTGTGAGCAATGCGACACGCGATTCGATCGCTTTGTACAGTTACGAACGCATATGGCGTTTGCACACCGTACAAAACATCAGTGTCATCTGTGTGCCTATTCGTCAAGTGTTAAAGCTGAACTCAAGAAGCACATCGTGGCGAATCACGAGAATGGGGTGAGATGCACCATTGACGGATGCAATATCACAATCGCATACAACAGGTTGTTTTTTGCGTGCTTGAAGTATAGCAGGCTTTTGGGAGATAAATTGGCATACGTAAATAAATTGAGATAAATAAATTGGCCTAAATTTACGGGCATTTAATTGTATTTAGTCGAATTCGAGTGTGATCGTTTTTGCAGTTGTGATAGGCACTTGGAAGATGTATTGTTGAATCGGTTATTTGAATGTTAGCAATGACGAGTAGGATGTTATCCATCAGTATTACTGTTTAGTTTTATTTTTATAGTACCGGAATTGTTGGTTGATATTACTGGTTTGATTTATATTGTATGTTTGAAATGAATTCAAGTTTGACTGCTGCTGCTGCATCTAATCGTAAGCTTCAACCAAAGATTGAAACGTCACATCCAAGAGGTGCATCAAGCGAAACACGACGTGAAAGCAAAGAGGCGTTGTGCAGAAACTGAGCTAGAACCAGAACAGAGGCAAGGAATTTCTTCACGAACTGTGGAACAGAAGCACGATCTCGAAACTACTGATGATGGTGATATGATCGAAACGACATCGGCTAATCAAACTGCAGGCTTGCCTAGTGATCACAACAGCAGTAAAGATTTGGACAAGGGCGACTTGATTGCGAAACAACGTGATGAAATGGCTGATTGCAACGACGAGAATAATAATGCAATGCGATCGTCTCCCGTGGCGCCAGAACTTCATAGTAATGGTATGTGTAGTGTATTCAAAAAAATTGTTTTTCAGTTGTTGAATTAGAATCGCAATCGGAATCGCGTTAAGATACGTTACATCGTTGTTTAGGTATTGTCGATTGGTCATTCGATTTAGAATGTCAGAGCAGAAACCTCTTATCGTTAGCGATACAACAGAGTTGTTGGGCTTTTCGCATATGTGTTTGTTGGAACGTTGCTTTCGAGTCTGCCCGATAACTTTCTGCCACTCCTATTATTATTGTACATAAAGTTATTGCAGAAACATGAGTGCATTTGCAAATAAGGAGTTGTTCAACTTTCGTTTGAGTTGGTTTGATTTTATTGTTGTGCTCAATTTTGAGTTTTAGTCTTTCACATGAGGAGATTCAAAGCGTTTCAGATTCAAAGCAAGACAGTCTCAGCGGCAACGAGAACTCGAAATCAGATGGAGCGGATAGTCTATCGAGTTGTTCATCAGGAAAATCGAGGGCATCCTGCTCCGAAGTACCAAGTTGCGTGGCAACGTGTTCCTCCGTGCTGGACGGTCATCATAAGAGCGTTGGTGATGCTGATGGTGGAGCAGAATCAGATGGCGGGTCGTTCGGGAGTAGGCGAGGTCAGGAGGATTCGTGGGATGAGGAATTCGAATTGACGCAATCTGAGCGGACGACGCGAGAGGATGGACGTATTGATACGGAGGACGGGAACGAATCGAAGGTAGACGATGGCATAAGACAGGGTGAGTGCGGTGAATGTTAACGTTTTATTGGTTGTGTTCCATTGGAATGTGCGCTCAGAATTATTTCTATTCGTTTTTTTGGTTTACTTCATTTTCGAAGAATGTATGTTTGTGGTGACAGTTCANATCTTGTTAGGGATGTGATAACTTGAAAAAATTTTGGAGAAGGTTTTGAGAAGCTTGAGAACTCAAGGTCTTATAGCAACAACGCCTAGATCGATTATCGAGACATGCCCTTTTAATGCTTATACCACTTGGTCTTCCCTTCAAGTCTATTAACTAAAAATGAAGAGTCACATTTTCAGTTGACGCGAAAAAACCACAAGTAGAGAATTTGGTGAAGAATTTGAAGTTTTCGTAAAGTTTTTTGGCCATTTCTCTCGAAGCAGCCAAGGATGGTCAGGTTTTAAGGTTGCCGTGATTTTAGGTGATTTTAAGTGTGCGATCTGCGGAAGATGTTACCGATCGCATCGTGATGAGAAGCGACACTATCGTCGAGTTCACGAACGAAGTTACAATGAAACAGTGCAAAGGAAGAAGAAATTGGCATGTCCACAAGATGGCTGCAGTAAAGTCTTCAGCTTACTTGCGAAGCTACGTGAACACCAAGCCTGCCACAACGGTAATATTAATGGTTTTGATGGTGTGTTTGATTACTTCAGTCTTGAATTGGAATCATTTCGAATTCTAAATTTCTCTGCTCATGATCAAGATTTTATTTGTAATGGAATATAATGAGTGCTTTGGCCATTACGTATAATATTAGTTATGGTTATAATATGAGTTATTTAACGTATTGTATTGCTCCTTTCTCATAGTCATTGAGCTGTAGTTATAGTCTAGTTATATTATATTATATTATATTATAATGTATTATATCATATATACCACCGTGTATTACATTATACCATTAGAAGGCGTTTTGTGTTGTAAAACAATTTGTGAATTTTATTGAAGTAGCTAGAATGAACCGCATTGGTGGGTAAGCATTTTATATGATGGACAGTTACTAGATGAGTTATTGATTGTGAGTTTAATATAATGATTTATCAGGTGAAGCAATCATCTCGTGTGATAACTGTGAACGGAAATTCAAGAATCGTGCAGTATACGCGATGGATTGGAGTCAGTAAACTTCGATCTAGCAGAAGTGT